GTACAGAAAGTAGATTAGTGTGCTGCTGTTCCAGCCTACTACTAGAGCAGGGGGATTAGGGGAGCAAAAGGGAAGTGACTGTTAAGGGGTACAAGTTTGTGTTTTTTTTATGTGATAAAAATGCTCTAAAATTGATTGTGGTGATATTCTATATATATAAAAGCCTAAGTGACCGTTACCAGAACAACTGGTCGACCAGTCGCTAAGATGCACACTGATCACCAGGGGACAGACGCTCAACACAGGAGCTGCCTGCCCCCTGGTGGTCAGTGTGCTCCCACAGCAAACCTCCTTTGACCAGCCAACCTCGCGCGGTCCCTCCCCCTCCCTTCCCCCTGCCAGCCAACTTCCCGTGGCCTTGATTGGGACTGGGCAAGACACCCCCAATTGGCCCCAATCACTGGTCAGGCCGAGGGACCCCACCCATGCACAAATTCATGCACTGGGCCTCTAGTATATATATATAAAAGCCTAATATGCAAAGTGTCTCCTCGGGAGTTCAACTGATCGGGAGTTTGATCACTCGCTGTGACGTGAGCTGACCACCAGGGGGTGGTGTGGAATGCACCCCTAGGGACCCTACCCAGGCAGAAATTTTGTGTACTGGGTTTCTAGTTAGTGAATAAACCGGAAGACCTTTGAACTGTAGAGTCTATATCTTAAAGCTCTTGTACTTTACCACACTGGACTCTAGCTTTTTTATTTTTAGCTAAATGTATGTGTATATACATATGAGAGCTACGTAATGGCATGAGTATTTAAAAAGTCATTCTTAAGAACCCTTTGGTGTGGAAAAAATAGCTGAGGTTTTACTGTTTTAAGAACAATTCTAAAATTAACATACAAAATTTAAAATTTTATTTTATTCTGTTTCTGTAGTCACCATTAACTTGTCTTTACATCCTAATAAACTTTTAAAGTGGCTTTACTTTATAAAATGTAAATGTGTGAGGATGTCAGCCTCGTTACGTCAAGCTTTTATTATATGGAGTAATGCTTTGAGGTACATAATTGAAACTATTCCAGTTTGGACTTTAACAGGTGGGAAATTGTGTTTTACAAGTGTTATTTTTAGTGACTACACATTTTCAAAGCTGTAATGAGCTAAAATAATAAAATGATGTTTAGGACTTATTTAGTTTCCCCCAATGATTGGCACCAAGCCTAAAATAGAAAACACAATAAACAAAAACAAAAAAGAGAAATTGAAACAGCATACATAAAATTAGTATTGGCAGTGACCATGGATGGCACATTTTATAATGTGCTATACTGTTATCTTTTGCAGGGGTAGAGATAGGTTTTGTATTTTAAATGCTTGGAGTACCATGTTGAGAGGTCTCTGAGTGGTACAGAGTGTGGTAAATTTCTGGTCTGGGACCAGAATCTGGTAGTGGCAGCTCATAAACCAGGTATTTATCATTGCTGCATAATATTGCTTCTTTTGTACATTAAAATGCAAGTATTCTATTTGCAAAGCTAATTAAGTTTATTTTTAATAGTGTAGTAACCATAAAGAGATACCAGACAGCTGATTTACTTTACTCCTATGAGGTTTTTTAAAAATATAAAATGTGAATTATGTCTTGCCTAATTTGTTAGGCACATTATAAAGTTATAAAGAGATAAAAGATATATTTTGTAAATTCTAAAGACCTGTGGAAATACATGAAAGAAAACAATTCTTTTCAGACATCACAAGAAATTACCTTTATCCATAGATAAAGTTGAAACAATAGTCTTTGGGCTGTTTCTAGATTGGTGCTGGTATTTTAATAGCATCGATGGCCCACACTTTTAAGATATTTTAAGGGGTTAACATTTATTTTCACAAACTTTTTAATAATACTATTCTGATACGAGTTTACTGAGCATTAACAAAAACAATATCTAATGGCATTGTTAAAATAATTTCTCTACCAGGCATGGATGGGAAGAAGCCTTTGCACGTATCAGAAGATCACATATCAAATATATCTGCCCGCATGCGTAAGTATTTTTAATCTTTAGGCTTGTGATTCAGAATCTGGAGAGGAATAATTGTAATAGCTTTACTTTTCTAGAAAAGCATTTGAATATAATTAATTTTTTATCTTTTAAATATTCAGTTTAAAAATAATGATTAGAGTACACCTGAACTTAATACAAAGTAATATTGAATGTAAACTATAATTGAAAAATAAAATTTAAAAATAGTAAAAAAATAAAGATTAATGCCCGGCTGGGGTGGCTTGGATAGAGCATTGTACACCAAAAAGGTTGCGTTTTTTTATTCCTGGTCAGGGCACATACTTAGGTTCCAGAGGTGATCAAGTCCATAATCTGGGCATGTGCCCTGACCGGGAATGGAACGGTGACCTCCTGGTTAATGAGTTGAAGCTCAACCACTGAGCCATACCAGTGGGGCAAGTCTGTACATCAAAGGCTGCTAAGAAGACAAATGGGATTATATACATGCCAGTAGCTTAGTAATTCATCCTCAGAAGTAGTAGTAGCAGTTGAGGTGATAAATATAAAAGTGGAAATAGAAAGAGGAAATATACCTGAGATTAGGTAAGAAAACAGTCCGGTTTCCAAGAAACAGAACTGTTGATTATATTGGAATTTTTGCTATGTTGTTACTGGCCCTAGAATTGAATTTGGTTTAAGGCTGTTTCCCAACCTAGGAAAGTGTTATTTCTCAAAGAAATTTTCCTGAGAGTTTATAACCTCTAAGGTATACTTGTTTCATGACTCAGGAAAATCGTGGTGAGATGTAGTCCTAGCGTATTTTTCTTTTTTCTTTTGTACCTAGTTACATTCAGGTTGTCCAGCAAGTTTTTCATCACAAACTTGAATTGGGTGTAAAGAACACTTAGGCAAAACTTATATATCTCTTATTTAATGATCTCTTAAACAAGCAGATATATATAGCTAAGAACTAGAAAACAAGCAAAAATATAATCTGAGCATATGGGAATTGATGCCCTAGTTCAGGGCCACAATGGGTTCTTAAACTGGACCGGAAGGCCGGAACAAAAGTATGGATGGAGTGTTTGTGTGAACTAATATAAATTCAAAGTAAACATCATTACATAAAAGGGTACGGTCTTTTTTTTTTAGTTTTATTCATTTCAAACGGGCCGGATCCGGCCCGCGGGCTGTAGTTTGCCCACGGCTGCCCTAGTTACTAGAGTCTATTGTACCTGTTCAACAGATTGCTCATATCTTTAGCCCCTTAGCCAAGTTTCATATTTTAGTCATTTCCAACTGTCCTGGTTACTGGTTTTCCTTCTCATGTTTGGTTTGAAAGTACTAAGTGAGGGTGTTGAGAAAGGAAAACGTTTTTTTATTTGTCAAACTTAGGATCTTTCCAGCTGCTGCTCTGTTTTCAGAACACACTTGAAGAGTATGCAAAACCGACCTGTACAGGTGGGGACGCAATGAAACACCTCAGACGTTAAAATCGTAGCAGTTTTACATAAGCCTCAAGTAATTATCTTTAATTGATGGAATTTTATGAGGTTTTATGCTTTGTTAAGTTGCTCTGATTTTGCTATTTTTTTTCTTTCCATGTAGACCAGTTATGCCTGTGACATTAAATATGAACATGGCCATGACTTCTTGGTAAGTAAGAACTTACTTATTCAATAAGAACTTTTTATTTATATTTAGTTCTCTTTTTTTTATTTTTATTTTTTTATTTCTTAAAGTATTACAAAGAGTATTACATATGTCTCCTTTTTACCCCCCCTTGACATTCCCCCGGCCCCTACCCACCGCCCACCCACCCCGTCTCTTGTGTCCATTGGTTAATCTTATATGCATGCATAGAAGTCCTTCGGTTGATCTCTTAATCCCCTCCCTAACCCTCCCCAGGCTTCCCACTGTAGTTTGACAGTCTGTTCAATGTTGCTCTGCCTCTGTATCTACTCCTGTTCATCAGTCTATACTGGTCTCCATTATCTGTCCCAACCTCACTGGAGTAGTCTCAACCTCACCAGGGCCGTCTGAGCCTCACCAGGGCCATCCCGACCTCACCCGGGCCGTTTTAACCTCACCGGGGCCGTCCCTACCTCACGGGGGCCGTTTCAACCTCACCGGGGCCGTTTCAACCTCACGGGGGCCGTTTCAACCTCACCGGGGCTGTCCCGACCTCACTGGGGCCGATTCGACCTCACCGGGGCCGATTCGACCTCACCGGGGCCGTTTCAACCTAACCGGGGCCGTCCCTACCTCACCGGGGCCGTTTCAACCTCACTGGGGCCGTCCCGACCTCACCGGGGCCTTTTCAACCTCACCGGGGCCGTCCATACCTCACGGGGGCAGTTTCAACCTCACCAGGGCCGTTTCAACCTCACCAGGGCCGTCCCGACCTCACCGGGGCCGTTTCAACCTCAAATATTTAGTTTTCTTGATCAGAGGTACTTTTGTGTATAGCAATGTTTAATTAGCTAATTTAAGTGGCAAAGTTATATAATTCACTTTAAATTCAATCTTATTTAATTATTTAAGTTTTTTTTATTTTAGATTCAGGGGTAAACCTCAGAGACTGCACCAATAGGTAGAAAAACAGGAGAGAATTGGGTGAATAGAAAAACTGCTTGATAAACAGTAACCAAACTGTTGATTTCAGTAAGCAAACATTGAATGACCCCAGGTAGCAATTACTCTGGTTAAGCAACGGCTTCTTTACACTTCTATTTCTTCCCTTTTGGGGAAGATTGATAAATTTTTTAGGAAACCATTTCCTCTTGGGCCCTCTTAAGATATTTTTGCTATTCCCCCTGTAGCAAGTAGATAGAGTCAGTTCTTCATTTCTTTGAACCACTTCTAAACTTTGATTTTGTTTCCTGCAGTTCTCTGAGACTGCTGCCACAGGTCTTTTAAAAAATGATGATTTTGACACCCGATTAGTATTCTCCTTTCCACTCTATTTCGTGCCACCATTTTATCTTTTGAGTGACTACAGGATCCAATGTAAAGGGCTCGTTCACAACCTTGACTGGCTTGTTACTTACTTCCTTGGCTCTTCTCTTCTACAGTAACATTTTCTTCTCTCACCGTTGGTCATCCACAGTCATCCTTGGGCCTTGTCACCTGGAGCTGTGCCATCTCTGAAGTCACTTAATTCAAACCTGATATTAAGAATAATTACTCATCTCTTGAGTTTGCTTCCCTGTTCCCACACCATTTTTTCTTAGACCTCATCAGGACTTCCAGTCTGCTGTCCTCCTGCTTGTTCCCACCCATCTCTAACCCGTCCCTGCTCTTTCTTTTTTATGAACTTTAGATTCCTTGGTGACTTTTACAGGTTCCTGCCTACCTTGGCCTTTGGTTTTTTAAATCTTCTCTCTCTGGCAAAATTCCTGTCCAGAACCAGAATTTCTACCTAATGTCTCTAGAGACCAGAATAAAAGAACATAATCTGATAGAGACGTAGAAAGGGCCAAAGGAAAGCTTCTCTTGGTCTCTGGTTTGAAGTGTCTACAATACGTAATGAAAAAGTTTTGCAGAGTATGGATAAAGATCAGTATAAATAACTATGTTCAAAAGGTATGAGTAGTGCATGCAAAAATGACATAATAAAGTAGCTCTATTCCATGGGGTTGACTTATACAATAGAAGAGGAAATGAGTGGCTGAAATTTATTGCAAACTTCTTAGGAGTATGGGTTGAGATTCCTGCTTGGGTGCAAGATTGGACTAGATTATCTCTTAGTTATGCTTATCCTAAAATTATGTAGCACTCTGACTTAACATTAGAATCCATATCTAGTTGGGATGAAAGGAACGTATAGAATGTCAGTCATGCATTTAATTGTTTCACCTCTGAATACATTTTGAATTTCATGTTCTAGAGAATACGTTTGCCAGTCCTTTTTATCCCAACTACCACGAGTTTAGTAAAACATACCTACCATGAGTAGATATTCTTTTTAAGATTTTGCCTTATTTTCCAGGTTTGATATTATTGGGCTTTCACCAGATTCACAGGAGGATGAACCTGGAATTAAACATGCAGCAGAATATGGTAAGTACAGAGTAGTTTTATTTTATTATTTTTTTTAAAATATATTTTATTAATTTTTTACAGAGAGGAAGGGAGAGAGATAGAGAGTTAGAAACATCGATGAGAGAGAAACATCGATGAGAGAGAAACATCGATCAGCTGCCTCCTGCACACTCCCTACTGGGGATGTGCCCGCAATCCAGGTACATGCCCTTGACCGGAATCGAACCTGGGACCTTTCAGTCCGCAGGCTGACGCTCTATCCACTGAGCCAAACCGGTTTCGGCAGAGTAGTTTTATAAACCAAAGCATTCTTATACTTTTTAGTAGACTCAATCATTTTATTGATGTTGATGAAAATATTACACAATTATGTGAACTTGGGAGGTGGTGCTGTTTCCTTTCTTTCTGATCACTTTCTAACTTGTTTGCCACATGGACTCACTTAACTATGCTCAGTGAAGGTGAGGTGGACAGGGAGGAATGGCAGTTATTACACTTTAACTGTTGGATAATTCATTTTGCTTTGGATTACATATCAAATGGAGAAAATAACAAAATGTTTAATATCTGTTGCCAGTTATCTTCATTAAGGAGACTTGAAATAAGGATGAAAATAATGATATAATGATGTGAAAATTATATAATGGTTAATTTTAGTGTGGTAATATTAAAATTAGATAATTCTTATAAATTATCTCATTTAACATTCCGATGAAATAAGCGTTAGCTCTACTTTATAGAATCTCCAAAGTCTGTTCTCTGGTTAGTATTCCATGCTGCCTTATGAATGTCTTAATTTTGCTTATTTTTTTGTGAAAGCATAAAGAACACAGACTGCCCAGCTAGTGTGGCTCAGTGGTTGAGCATCAACCCATGAACCAGGAGGTCACAGTTGATTCTCTGTCAGGGAACATGCCTGGATTGCGGGCTCGATCCCCAGTGTGGGGCGTGCAGGAGGCAGCCGATCAATGATTCTCTCTCATCATTGTTGTTTCTATCGCTCCCTCTCCCTTCCTCTCTGAAATCAATAAAAATATATTTTAAAAAAATAAAGATCAATAGAAAAAATATCCTCGGGTAAGGTTTTAAAAAGAAAGAAAAAAATATAAAAGCTATAATCCTATAGCTAGGTATTTGTCAGAAAATAATAGATGACAAAAACATGTGTTGGGTATGGGAATGAGTTGTGAGACCCTGTGGAAGATGGGAGCTGGGCTTTGTGAAAACAGGTGGGCCTGGTGAGTCCAGAGGGGAAAACCTTCTGTCCTCGTGATAGGATTGGCCTAGGACATACTTGAGATTTCTTTCCTCTCCTAGGCAATGTAATATTGGAGAGCATTAGGCTCAGGCTCAGAGCTGGAAAAGAAAGGAGTCTCTAGTTGAGGGCTGAGAGTCTGTGCTACAGAATAAAGAAGAGTGCTCAGGTTAGGTCCAGGGAGCACAGTGGTTCCCTGGCCCTGCTGCAGAAATTAGAACCCACTACTCCACAACCGACTGCTGCCATTGGAGTTTGTTAACTTTATCTCAGCAGCTGGTGTGCCCATGGCATGTAAAGCTTTGCGAAACTGAGGGAAAATACTCCCAACAGCACCTGACTAGCTAGCAGCTAACATTCACCAAGCCCCAACCACAGCCTTCCCGCCTCACACATGGGCTGTTTCTGCCACTTGTGCATCTGTCAGAGGCTGTGCAGTCTCCCCTAAGTAAATCCCTCAGACTTTTCCTCAGTTCTTTCATTCCTTAAATCTTCTTAATTGTTCTCTAGCCCATTCTCCCAGGCCCTAGTCAAGGCACCTCTAGCTTTTCATACTATTTCTAATGAAGAACTAAAATATATACAAAAACAAAATAACTTTTAATTTGGGCATTTGGGTTTTTGCAGTGATGTAATAAAAGCATATTTTTGTGTGTTTTTTAAATAAAAAAGAAATGTAAAGGTGGAAATTTTAGTCTTAAAAATTAAAGTCTTACATATATGTAAAAAATGAAAGAAAATAAATTTGTTAAAGGTGCAGTTATTCCCAAAATTCAGGACTGATTATAAAGAAATGGACATTTAAGGAGGTATCAAGTCATATATTTAGTGATGTGTGCCAACACAAATGTATTTTGCAGAAAGAAAATAACTCATTTGTTTCTTTTACTGGCTATAGGAAAATATAATACTGTGCTTTTAAAAAAATAATAGAATGAACTGTTTAAACACTGTAAATCACAAACCATGCAATCTGCTTAATTACTTAAAATTTTAAATTATAACTTTTAGGTACAAATGCCTATGGTCCCTTGAAGAGAGAAATATAAAATGTATATGAGCAGAATTGGCCTTGCATAAAAGAATATTCATATATTGATGAAATAACTGTTTTACAAATTATGTAATAAGAAACAATTGGAGTGTAAGCACCACATGCAAAATCTGAGTTTTATCATGAAAATGCATTCTAATTTTCTATTTTAATAGAATGCTTCAAGTTTTTCACTTGTTTTGACCTTTAATATACTTCGTATTTTACTGTCATTAAATATTTTTTCTATTTAAATTGTATCAATGACCTTAACTTTGAAAGTATTAGTAATATCACTTTCATGTTGTTTTTAGTAAAAACTTTGATAGACCAAGAGGTGAAGAATGGCATTCCTTCAGACAGAATTATTTTGGGAGGATTTTCTCAGGTAAGATAAAGTTTGGGTGGTATGTCAGTACCATCAGTATATTTATCTAGAAGTCAGTGGCTTCAATCCTTTTCTATCAGATCTCCTCTTTTTAGAAGATGTTATAGAAACTGATATACTACTTACCTTTAATGCTGGATTAAGTTCGAATGGATTAGAAATAACTATTAATTGAGAGAATACTTATACTCTTTTGCTTTTCTAGTTTTCTCTTTTCAGCAGCTTTACTGTATGCAGCGGTCTGTGGACCACTGGTGGTCCGTGAGGTCTGAAAGGTTGGCAACCGCTGGTATAGAGTATGTCTTGAAAATAGATTTATTAAGTAAATTGATTGGAATCTGAAATGTTAACACTCTATAGCTCTTTAAACGAAGCTCTAAATAGAGGTATAAAGCCCATGTCTAGGAGGAGAGACTACTGATAGGAACAGTAAGGTAGAAGACAAGAGAATTTCTCCCCTCTTTTTGTCACAGATTCCCATTGGTTGAGCCCTGCAGATTCTCCTGCAATTACTGTGGAGTTTTTGAGTTTACATTTCAATTCCAGCCACACAAAGAAACAGACTGAGAGTCACTGAGTCCCAATTTCAGAATCTTGGGAGAAGGAACATAAATACCTCAGATGAGAAAGGATCTCACGTTTTCATGTGGCCTAGTGACTTGTGGGCGTGGCCAGAGTGACATGGCATCTAGATGACTGATGGGTATGCAGTTCCCAGGATGCAGGGTGATGTGAGCTGGGTAGGCATACTCTAAAGGTGTCTGCTACATAGTCTTCATTATCTTGAATTACTGTTTTGGAAAATAATACCAGTTTTAAGAGATTTGATTTTATACGAAGACTTTTCAGAGGAGAAAATAGTAACTATGAATCTATAATGCTTCTAAGGCGGTTGTAAGTGCAGCAGTTAACTCGGATTAACTGTGTCTTGACTGACTGGGTGGTTGCTAAGTTCTCACAGTGGTCTTCAGTGTAGAGAATCATGTGCTTTAGGACACAGTGGGGTGTGCATGTATTTCTACTTGTTTGCCTGATTTGATTTGACATCAGCCACCCAGTGTGATTTTTTGATGGACATTATTAATAACAAGAAACTTCTTAGGTTGCTGTTAACAAAGGATGTGTTGTTCCATTGACTCTCCCTGCTTGTCTTTCTAGGGAGGAGCTTTATCTTTATACACTGCTCTGACCACACAGCAGAAACTGGCAGGTGTCACTGCGCTCAGTTGCTGGCTTCCACTTCGGTCTTCATTTCCACAGGTAGTCTGATTGCTTCATGCCACATTACATTACTGAGCTAAGAGACAGCAGATAGCGTTGGGGAGAGGGTCATTTTTTTAATAAACTTTATTTTTTTAGAGCAGTGTTAGAAGCAAGTGGAAAGTACAGAAAGTTCCCACATACCCACTGTCTCTATACATGCACAGCCCCCCCCCCCCCCACTGTTGACATTCTGCAGCACTGTGACACATTGATTACAATCAGTGAACCTACATTGATACATAATCACTCAAAACCCAGAGTTTATATTATACTTTTTAAAAAAGAATTTTGTAAAACTTTTAGTAATATATTTTTTTTTATTGATTTCAGAGAGGAAGGGAGAGGGAGAGAGATAGAAACATCAATGATGAGGGAGAATACTTGATCAACTGCCTCCTGCTCGCCCCCTACTGGAGATTGAGCTGCAACCTTGGCATGTGCCCTGAGTGGGAATCAAACTGTGACCTCCTGGTTCATAGGTCAATGTTCAACCGCTGAGCCATGCTGGCCAGGCAGAATTTTCTTAGACTTTTGTGATGTATTACTAGGCTTTATGAGTTCACTACATTGTCTTCATTGTAGATTACATAGAATGGAATAAGAAATAAGTCCTGTTGTCATAAATCTTATATTTAAAGAGGTTGATACATTTTAAGATATATAAAAATTAGGGCTATTTTTTATATATAGAAATATTTTTGAATGTTCAGTATGCTGATAGCAGATTTTGCAAAATAAAATATAATTTCTAAATACCCAACAAGGTAGAGCAGTATATGGTATACATGAGAGGTGTAGACTTTATTTTCAAATTTGTCTTTAAATCTAGGGTTTTTTCTTGTCATTCTGTAGTATCTCTTTGGTTACATAGTAAGTGCTATTTATTAACTTTGTTTATTTTATTTATTGGAAGGGAGAGAGAGAAAGAGAGAAAGAAACATTGATTTGTTGTTCTATTTACTTATGCGTTCATTGGTTGATTCTTGTGTGTGCTCTGACCTGGGATCCATTCGGCAATCTTGGCTTATTGGGATGATGCTCTAACCAACTGAGCTACCTGGCCAGGGCTTAACCATCTTACTTAAGTCAATTCAATAAGAACTGAGAACAACATGGGTCAGCTAAAACATACCTCTCATGTCAGGACAGTGTGAACAGATAAAGAATAGAATCTGCTTCAAGGAACCAATTTATTGGGAAAACATAAAATATATGACAGGGTAATCCATATGTCCTATAACAGTTTAAATAAAGATATGTGGAGATTATAAGGATGGCAGGAATTTTATTTCTATGGTCAAATATAACCTATAAAATAAGTAATAACATGTTGTATGCACATATCTATAGTTTTAAATGCCCGGCTTAATGTTCTATATATTTGAATAAATAATACTAGTTTTATTTTGTTTTGTTGTTTTTGCAGGGTCCTATCAGTGGTGTTAATAGAGATATTTCTATTCTTCAGTGCCATGGAGATTCTGATCCTTTAGTTCCTCTAATGTTTGGTTCTCTTACTGCTGAAAAGCTAAAAACATTGGTAAATCCAGCCAATGTAACCTTCAAAGTCTATGAAGGCATGATGCATAGTTCATGTCCACAGGTAAATGTTTGGAAACAGTGATTATAGAGACATAATTTGCTTATTTTTCCATGTGATATTTCAAGATAAATAATATTTGACCATTTGGGGCTTTAAAGGAGTTAATGAATTCACTCTGAGTCATAGGTTAGCAGGACTTAGATCAAAGCTTCTTCAATTTAATTCAACAAACATTCACTGATTTCCTATTACATGCAAGCATTGTACATAATTCTAAGACCAAAAAAACCCATTTCCTTTTATTACAATTTAGACAGGATTCATTAACATTAAAAATTTAATAGGGGAGAAGGATATGGGGAGGATATATATCCAAGTAACTGTATAGAAAACAGATGTGTTATGTGTTCTATTGGAAGTTTTAAAAAGTTACTTGAAAAACTGAGGAGAGTGAGATTAATTTTATCTTAGGAGACACTGGGTCATGATGAAAGAGTTAGATTTTGAACACAGGGTAGGATTTAGATAGTAAGTGTGCAGAGAAAGGACTGTAGGACAGGAGAAGCAAGCTGTCCGATTAGGCTGTAGTCTTATGAAAAGCTAGGTGTCATAGAATAGAGACAGAGAGGAAAGATTCGATTGTACAGAGCTTTTATGCTGTGTTGAGAATGGACTTGTTCTCTAAACAGCAGAAAGCCACTGACTTTTTTTTTTTTTTTTTAAATCAAAGCAAGATGTAATGTATATTCTGGAAACAAGTGAAGCAGAATCCACTAGGATTTAGTGATTAATTCTATGGAATAGGAAAGGATCAATGAGGCCTTATATTTCTAGCTCAGATGATTAAGATGATGCCACTCATAAAGTATGTAGTACAAGGAACAGTTTTAGGGTAACGGGAAGGAGATATACTTACTGAGTTTAATGACCATAAGGGAATTGGTATGCTCCCATTACAGTATATCAGGATGGATATTGAAAATACTTGTCTGAAGCTCAAGCCTTTAATCGAGGTTTAGAATAATTATCAATATTATTGATCAGTGAAGAATCACAGGGATATCATGAGAAAAAAATCCAAGGGATAGAACTTTGGGGGAGTTCAAAGGAGTTAAGTGTTGAGTGAGAGTACAGGAAGAGAGAATTTCTGAGTGGGTGGGAACAATAACTGATGGTTCAGAGACTGATTAAGGAGAAATAGGCCAGGAAGAAACTATCCAGTAAGAAGGCATCTCAGATGTTTGGGGAGATAGAGCCAAACTGCAATAGATTATGTGAAGTAGGGAAATGAGGAAGTAGAGGCAACATGTATAAACCTTTTTAAAAAAAGGTTTTGGTAAAATGGGAAAAGAGTAGGAAGTTTCTTGATTTAACAGGATGGGAGAAAGAGACCCTGATAGGTTGGGAGGAAAGAGGGAGAAGATGCCATAAAGAGAAGATAACTGATAGTGGGAAGTTTTAGAGGGATGATATAATTTATAATTAAGTCCTGAAATGGGTAGTGGTTGCCTTAAAAGAGGAGAAAAACACTTTGGAATCAAGATAGAAGAGGATGGATGAACATGAATGGATTGTTGAAGTATGGTAGAAAGTAGTTGCGAGCTCACATTAGATCCTCTCAATCTTTTCAGTAAAGTAGGGGAGATGTGGTTACTTAATAAGAATGAAGGAGGCCTGGATAGATTTAGAGGCTTAGGGAAGCCTACACTAAAAATTGTCGGCTAAACATTGAGGCAGTTTATGTTACCATGGTTTTGCAACTAACTGCTCAACCTGGCTAAATAATTTGCTTTAGGGCAGAGACAGTAGGTAGTAATATGATTTATCCAGAAAAACAAGGGGCCTGAGATGCTAGGGTATTATTAAGGACATAGTTGAAACTGTCATAGTGGTTCCTTGCTTTTGTACTTGTGGGTCTATAGACTTTCTGTAGAGTTATCAAACAGATGTCATACCCACAATTTTCTAGAAGTTCTTTTAAAATAACCTTTTGTTTTTATAGAATCAATAAAAAATTAAAAAAAGGAACTGTTGTGAAGTATTGAATCCAGAAAGGGAGGTGGCACTCTGAGCATCCAGAAGGGACTGAGGGTCTAGAGCAGTGGTTTTCCAACCACTTTGTATCACAAGGACCCCAGAGCTTAATAAACATACAGACCCCCAAACTCCAAATGCAGTGATTCTGATTCAGCACATTGGGGATTTGGGGTTGAACTCAGGCATCTGTGTTTGTATGGAGATTTTTTTAAAAATAAAAGCTCCTTAAATGATATTTTATGCCATCACATTGGAGGACACTGGATGAATAATTAGGAGCAGAAAGTGAGAAGAGGTAGAAAAGTAGGAGATGGTGTCACAGGAAACTTTTAAAGGACTTTAGAGTGTTGTAAAATAGATCACTTTTGTGCTGTGGCTTTTTTTCTGAGTAAAGTATCAGGTTGAAGGCTCTCTGCATTGCTGACTTGTGGGGGCTAAGCCTTGAAATACTAGAGTTGATTGGAGGAAATGAAATGTGTTTGGGGGAAGTGAGACAACTGTGAGACAGATGCAGGGGTCTTTTAGGAAAGGTTTTGCTGTCATAAATATTTGGTTATATGAATTTTCATATCTTTCCAGGCTTATCTTAGGTGCTTGCTATCTTTCTAATGGTTGATTATATCAAAATCCTGATATAAGGCCAAATATATTTTATGCTGTGGATTTAGCATTTCATTCTCACGAGAGAATGTTAAAAGCTAGGCTTTCCACATATATGTAGTTGGCAGTCATTGCATACTTAATACTTCTCATTATTGTCACTTCTAAGCCCCTTTCATCTCTCCGCACCCCCATGTTTTATTTGTTCAAGTATAGCAAAATGCAGTCCATTTTCATGGGAGTAGATACTAGATGTGAGCCATATTGAATGTACAATAATAATCAGAGAAAATGATCTGAAATTTCTATTTGAGCCTCCTTTCTCTGTTACAACTTTTTATTTCATCGTAGTAGTAAAAATGTTGTTTCACATTATGTACACACACCATGGATTTAGTTAGTGGTATTTCAGTGGGGATTTAATTTCTGATTTGTGTAACTGC